TGATTTTAGTTAATCGGTTAACCAAAGACATTCAGAATAGAAACATTGCGAAAATAGGAAGGAGGAATCAATTCTCTAAGAAAAATTTATGCTAAAACCATGTACAGTATGAACTAGTTCTAGCAAACATACCTTCCCGAACTGAAGTCAAAAGAAAACGGATGATTTTAGCTTTCACAAGCTGAATACTCAGAAAACCGCAAAAAATACCGCAGAAATGAATGGGACCCTCAGCAATTGTCGATCGGTGGGATTTCAAACGGAACAGTGAGCAGACAGTGCGGAGGCGCGCATTCGAGTCAATGTCAGAGAGCGCAGAGGTAATGAAGATGTTCGCCTCAGGCCTACGTCTTTTCACTGACCCGCAACCAGGGCACGCCATTGCAGTGATCATTTCCTGAAAAATACGACCCCCTGTGTTACCTCTTCCCTAGATTTTTCCAACCTCCTACCACTTTGTCTATTTTTTCCCAAAAAATTTCTGGTTTTTTTTACAAAATTTTGCTGTCGAGCGGGGGGTCGCAGTACCTACGTACGTCCCAAGCACGTCCAGCACACTCTGGCGCTGGTGTAGCATACTGACAATACGTACGAGGAAGGGGCGATGATAGGAGCTACGATCACCGCCCACATGAATTTATAAACAAACAAGAGGACTCACGACGTGACGATTAATAAACAGATGAAAGTACATTCCCGGACTTTTCTGATCGTAGGAGCACATTTGCTTGCAATTGGGAAGCCCTATCTAGAAGTTACACCTTTCCAAAACCTGCGTGAAAGCCCCATGCATGGCGCATTGCACAGGTGATGCCAATTAGACCATTCTTCAATACCCTTTGCGGAAACATGTGTTTCAGAAGCATACCAAAGTCTTCAAGCCAACTGGAGGTTTCCTGGCCTCGGAGGGGTTGATTTTTCGTGTCGTGGGGGGTGAGCACGAAATGATCACAACGGGGAATTTTTTCGAATAGCAGGCCTAGGAAGAAAATTAAAGCCTTGCTGGAAAGTAGAAATCTTCAAGCTTCCGGCACAATTCTTTTTTTTACGAAAGGCCGTGTATGAAGCTTGCCATGGACGTCCAAAGCGTAGCGACTCGCGGTTCGCAAAAATGATCACAGACGGATCACAACGATGATCACAACGGGGAAAATCTCTGGAATCGGAACGTTTTTGAAATCGCTCAATTCAGGTGACAAGAGCCAACCTAGCTCTACTCATTCCCACTTACCCCTCTCCGATAGCTTCACTTTCAACGAAGTTATGGGTGTTCAAATGAGGGGTACTTTTCACGTGTTTGGCTTGAAATTGGCTCCAGGCCGTAAAATAGCGCGCACCAATGAGCTTGTATGAGCGCGCTGACCGCGAACAGCCAAAATTCAAAAGTAATCCATAGTTCCGGTTCCCAGCTGGCCTGGTGAGTTTTTTTCTTATCCATTTGATTGTGAATTATTTTGATTGTTTGTTTTGTTGAGTTTGATTTTGTTTTGTTGAGTTTGATTTTGTTGTGAGGAAATTGCTCAGGATTCAATTTCTACGGTTTCATAGGTAGCTTTTGCAATGGATTCTTTTCTAGATTTTGCGGATTAGTGGATTGGGATTTATCTAGACCAGATGAGGAGGGTTGGTGGGCGAAGTGTCTTGAAGTTTTTAGGAAGGAGGAAAAGTTTCAGCAATATTTTTTTAGTTCTTGGCCTAGGAATAGTTCGATAGTGCCTAGTTCTATTTATTGTCATCTACATCGTCCCTTTTGAGCTTCTTTTCACTTGTACCGTGTATCACCGCTCTCTCCACTTCAACATGGGCCATGCGTTTACGACCCCCCCCCCCGCGTTGTGATGATCACAAAGATGACATGCCCTGATTCCTGGGCCAAGAACTTAAAAAATATTGCTGAAACTTTTCCTCCTTCCTAAAAAACTTCAAGACACTTCGCCACCAACCCTCCTCATCTGGTCTAGATAAATCCCAATCCACTAATCCGCAAAATCTAGAAAAGAATCCATTGCAAAAGCTACCTATGAAACCGTAGAAATTGAATCCTGAGCAATTTCCTCACAACAAAATCAAACTCAACAAAACAAAATCAAACTCAACAAAAAACAATCAAAATAATTCACAATCAAATGGATAAGAAAAAAAAACTCACCAGGCCAGCTGGGAACCGGAACTATGGATTACTTTTGAATTTTGGCTGTTCGCGGTCAGCGCGCTCATACAAGCTCATTGGTGCGCGCTTTTACGGCCTGGAGCCAATTTCAAGCCAAACACGTGAAAAGTACCCCTCATTTGAACACCCATAACTTCGTTGAAAGTGAAGCTATCGGAGAGGGGTAAGTGGGAATGAGTAGAGCTAGGTTGGCTCTTGTCACCTGAATTGAGCGATTTCAAAAACGTTCCGATTCCAGAGATTTTCCCCGTTGTGATCATCGTTGTGATCCGTCTGTGATCATTTTTGCGAACCGCGAGTCGCTACGCTTTGGACGTCCATGGCAAGCTTCATACACGGCCTTTCGTAAAAAAAAGAATTGTGCCGGAAGCTTGAAGATTTCTACTTTCCAGCAGGGCTTTAATTTTCTTCCTAGGCCTGCTATTCGAAAAAATTCCCCGTTGTGATCATTTCGTGACCACCCCCCACGACACGAAAAATCAGCCCCTCCGAGGCCATGAAACCTCCAGTTGGCTTGAAGACTTTGGTATGCTTCTAAAACACATGTTTTCGCAAAGGGTATCAGGAAATAGGCCATTGGGCGCCAATTGGCATCACCTCTGCAATGCGCCATGCATGGGGCTTTCACGCAGGTGTTTGGAAGGTGTAACTTCTAGATAGGGCTTCCCAATTGCAAGCAAATGTGCTCCTACGATCAGAAAAGTCCGGGAATGTACTTTCATCTGTTTATTAATCGTCACGTCGTGAGTCCTCTTGTTTGTTTATAAATTCATGGGCCCTTGTGGGCGGTGATCGTAGCTCCTATCATCGCCCCTTCCTCGTACGTATTGTCAGTATGCTACACCAGCGCCAGAGTGCTGGACGTGCTTGGGACGTACGTAGGTACTGCGACCTCCCCCCCCCGCTCGACAGCAAAATTTTGTAAAAAAACCAGAAATTTTTTGGGAAAAAATAGACAAAGTGGTAGGAGGTTGGAAAAATCTAGGGAAGAGGTAACATGGGGAGGGGGTCGTACTTGAAGATGGAATTAGGGGGGGTCGTATTTTTCAGGAAATGATCACAACGCAATGGCGTGCCTTGCTAGGAATAGTTCGATAGTGGCTAGTTCTATTTATTGTCATCTACATCGTCCCTTTTGAGCTTCTTTTCACTTGTACCGTGTATCACCGCTCTCTCCACTTCAACATGGGCCATGCGTTTACGACCCCCCTCCATCGCGGGCAAATACGACCCCCCCCCCGTTGTGATGATCACAAAGATGGCGTGCCCTGACCGCAATCGTCAAAGCGCTCGCCAGCGTGGTCGTAGGCTGGGGCCCACTGTCGGATGAGAACTCCACTGTAATAGATTCAGATGCAAGGTACCGCTATTTTGCAGGAGCGGCCCTCACAAAGACCATGAGTGAAAATGATGAGAGATCAAGTCTTCGCCGTTCATCAATCCTATTTTGAAATGCGAGACGCATCCTAATTCAATTTAGAATCATAGTAACCTTTTGGATGTGTGTAGCCTACACAGTTACTTGCCGGGCCTACAGATGAACGAGGCAGTGTTGTTCGTATTCTTGGACGAATTCGATACCAGCTTTACCTCCTCAGAAGGTAAAGAACCTGGTTGGCCTGGGTGAAGCCAGGGATTCAGGATTCGGTACCCGGACCGCGCGCATTGTACGTGTACTACATGCAACTGCACTACCTCCGCCTCTACGAACGCGTGAGAGGAAAAACTACTGATGAACCAATATTTTCACTCGCATTTCGGAATCGCCTCTCCGAAATCAATTGAGACCACGTACTACAAGCAACAGATAGAATCCAAAAACTTCAGCATTTTCTACCATTCTTACTTCCTTCAATATAGTATGCAACAGATGGCTGTTGCCGTTATTGTCATCGTTGCCTCCCGAAACTTATCCGAAAGGATAGCAAAATTTGCTTCTGCGAACGGAACTGGTCAATGATTTATTAAAAAAATTAACTCTATGATTTCAATAAGCCATTGCCTCAAGAGTTTTGCTGAAATAGCCGCCGTGATGCGCCTTGTTCAATTTCGCAAACGACGACATCAACAACGCTGTTGATTCTTCAACCTAAACAAAAATGAGAAAATTACTGATCATCCACGCGATATCCACTTGTGACAGGATAAAATCGCCCACGAGATACAAAACTGAATCGAACGTGAATACCGAGATTTCTCCATCTTCTCCTCCCATATCTGTTCGCACCCATCCAGGATGGAATGAAGCCACAAGAATACGTTCTGATTCAAGATCAACGGATAGATTCCTCGACAAACAATTCAGAGCAGACTGCAAAAAGGTGTTGCTTACTTTAGTGAGACCACACCAAAAGAATGAGAGCTACATCCACCTTGCTCATTCTATATGCTAGACTGTTCTTCTGTGCTGATCCGGAATTATTCGCCCCGACAGAACCCATATCGGACGAAATATTTAGGATAGCAGCACGGTCCACAGAAAACTCGTCATTGCCGTGGGAGGCTGCTTTACGCAGGAGTGGTAAGAATATCTGAATGTAACTGTTCCCAGTTTTTGAAATGAGTTCCCGGTATAGATGAAAATTCAGTTACCTGCGTAAGAACGGCCACGCTAACAGCGTTTGTGTCGATAACCTTGGCGAGAACGGAGCGATCAGGCTCTCTATTGAAGAAGTACTGTATCAGGATCCCTGCGTTGTTTACCAGTACATTGAGACCTCCATCACCAACGATTTTTTCAACCTGGATATACTTGCTTCCTTGTAGGAATTCAGTGAGATTACGGGATTTTCCGTTTGGAAGTGTCGTCAGAAAGACGTACATACGTTAATGAAAACGAAACCGCTCTGCTCTCAGTGAGGATCTGCTCATTAAGTCGCACTGGGCAATATGACCTCTTGTCCATTGAATTCCCGTTGCACATAACTCACTACGGCAAACCGTCGAGGTTCCTTGCTATGCTCACATATAAGATATAATTATTAAGATATTATTATTATGATCCTTATAGAACTCGTCGCTACCTTTGACTTTGCTCTGAAGTATCGTCTAGATCCTGAGCGGTTGAACTTCACTGCCCTTCAGAAGTCGTATGACGATGAGTACTGCTGTTTGGAATACGACTTCCGAAAGGTAGAAATCACAAGGTTGCTGAATTATGGGCAAGAGTCTCACCCTCAGGCGAGGCTTGAGCCCGTAGCTCACGCTTATCGATTGGGGGCGCTATTTGTTTTGCAGCCTCTAACCTGCTCAACGGCCCTTTATGCCTCGACCGCATAGTCCTGGACGGCGTTTTGGAGACTTAAACGTGAGATGCATGAGATGTTCGGGTCCATGGGGTTGATGTTTTTGTCCATAACTTAGCAGTTTTGTGATAATGCTGAATTATTGACAGGAACCTCAACCCCCTCAAGGTTAAGTTTAGGAGCAGGAACAGCTGTCTTCAGCGAGTGAGTTAGAGATATTCTATGACTCCCTGTATAATCTCATAACGACTTTGGTTTCGCAAGGCACCTTGCTACGCTCAACATCTGCAGGAGAGATTATGTAATACGCTCAGGAAGCTCGATGGGGACGGGAAGTTCTAGGGTCTAATCGCGGACCATCTTGAGGCGGGGGCAACTTTTTTCACTTTCTCAGGACGGCAAGCTCAAAATTGACATAAGTATAAGTTTATTACGTGTGCATAAGGCATACGTGAGAAAAAAAATTATCGGAACACATTACGTATACAAGTTCCAATATTGATATATTAGTTACAATTTTTCAAAAACAGTAATTAACCAGCAAATCACCAACTTATCGACCAGTCTCAAGAGAGCTAGACCCACCATACCTCAATAACCTGTTGGAAATACGGTGTCTGAACTGAGCATGTGACAAAGTGGCAGGTATGGCTTTTGTTAACTTCAAATACGCGCTGCCCGCCCTGAAGGTGAAGCTCTTGGCACGTAAATTAGTCTCAGGTTTTGACAAATAGATCTTCATGAGACATCTCTAGTGTTCGATAACTGTATGTAGTGAGTAATAATCTGATGCACAGGTACTGACCTCCTTGTAGGCTCTTCGAATTGAATTGTCGTCATTCACATCGAGTTCCACAATACTCAATCGATTGTCGCTGATAGCTTTCAGTTCCTATAAAACGAAATTCTCAATATTGAGTTGCTTCTGCCACGAGAAGGTCGAAACGTTAGGCCAATAAAAGGTTCACCTAACAACCTCGTTTGGCAGAAGCAACTTAATATTCGACACCATGCCGAGGTTACAACAAGGGAGAACGTGGAGAAATTCTCAATCATTCATCAACAAAAGCTCAAAGGAAACAAGTGAGCGGAAAGTTTCTGTTTAGCTCTAGGAGTAGCAGAAAAAGAATGAAGTTTAGCTCCTGGAGGAAAGGACATCCAGACGGACCAACCTTTCTTACAGACAAACTGCTACCTTCATGGATCCTGGTCCTGGCCGTGTGTGGTGGGAATGAGCCAAATATAGAGAGGAACGGGACCGGAGGGGAGTGATACCGAGCTGACTCCATACTGCAGCCACGTCTCTGCATGGACAGCCACACGCCTGATCATAGCCGAACGCGCTACTTTTCTGCGAATTCTCACTTCTGGACGTCCTCTGCTTTAGAATTGTGTTCGCTGCTTCCGCATCGACTGGAGAGCTGCACCTGACGACGCGGTCGGAGTCCCAAACGGCGCACTGGTACCTCAGCCTTATCCGCGCGCGTTCTTAAAGGCAGTTGGCACGATAAATCCCCCGAAGCGGCTAGGATCAATACTCCTGGCAGGATAGAAACTCCGCGACCCCTGGACAGGCGCTGCCTAGCGGTTTCCCCGAGGAAGGTGCCCTTATAAGGGCCCTATCAAGCCACAACTTTACGTCCCAAACGCCCGCCCGCCCACAAATGGACGACCGTTCCTGACGCTCGTATTGCTTCATTTGCGAAGTAAAATATGAAGCGAAGGGATTGATATGAAGCGGCCGCGATGCTGCATGCATACATGGGTACACATATGCAGCCGTATCTTCGGTAGCGGTGATTGGTAAGATGCCTACGGGAAACTCGTCCGAAATCGATTTACAAGTCACTGAGAACGGAGGCTTTTTCTTCGCAGGATTTTGACCGTTTCACTCCGTTCTTTCGCCATTTCCCCACTATACAGCGCCCTACTAGCATTTTAGGCTGAGTAGGAAATCATCGTGCCAACTGCCTTTAACTAACAAAAGTGTTAGACTTATACAGCTCCCAACCCGCATATCGTAAACCTCCCTTGCACACTAGTGTCAGGGAGAACAGAATCGTCGTCGTGGGCGAGACATCATACCACGCCGTTCCACCGTTCTGTCATCCTTACAGAAATCTATAATCACCCCATATATATATAAATCGCTTTGTCTGTTTGTTTGTTTGTTTGTAAGTTTGTTTAGTAAGTCCTGTAAGCTGGTCACCCCATATATATAATTCGCTTTGTCTTTGTTGTTGTTTGTTTGTAAGTCTGTAAGCTTGTAAGTTTGTCAGTTTGTAAGTTTGTAAGTTTGTAAGTTTGTAAGTTTGTCTGTCCGGAAATTCGGTTCGACCTGAAGAACGACTTGGAGAGGTCCAGTCAAGGTGGGGATAGGTAGGGCATGGGACAAGAAATAAAAAGCACACTTGACCTATGGGAAGCCCCGCCCACAGTGGGCGGGGCACTCGCCGAAAGTTTGGGGTTCCGCAGAAAAATGTTCATAATTCGCTTCCGGAGCAGCTTAAAGATGGGGAAAAAAGGGACTAAGGTTAGTAAGGAGTCGCCAGACTAACTGTGGCAGTAGCACCCTAAAATGGGTCGGGGCGTACTCAAGGTGGGCGGTGCTTCTCGCAAAATTCAGTAACCCGGTTCGCGAGAGTGCTTTGGAAGTCGCAAAAAAAACTCAGTGTAGAATGTAAATATCCGGCGAATATAGGGCACGCTCAAAGTGTGTTGAGACCCCCCACAGTGGGCGGAGCTTGCCCTAAATCGCAGGGTATTCATTTTAAAAGTTTGTAGCTCGGTTCCAGAACACTCCAGATACCGGAAAAAAAGTGGATTAAGTTCAGTAGATGGTCGCCGGTGGGGATTCTGGGGCAAAAACATTGTGGGCGGAGCCTGCTCCGAGGTGGGCGGAGCCAGACAAAGAGGTCTAATAACGGTTCCCAGAGCACTCCGAAGACCGGAATAAAGATCCAGGTCAGCAAGGGGTCGCCGATTGAGAAATATGTGCTAGATATATTGTGTGCGGAGCCAGCCCGAGGTGGGCGGAGCCAGGGACGAAAATTCTCTAAAACTGTCCCAGAGCACTTCAAAGACCGAAAAAAAACGTGGAGTTCAGTAGATGGTCGCCGGTGAGGATTGTGGGGCAAAAACATTGTGGGCGGAGGCCTCGCCGTGAGGTGGCGCGAGCCATAAAAGGCTCTGCTAAAACGGTTTCCAGAGCCACCTCCGAAGACCCGGAATGAAAGCGTGAATTCAAGGTCTCAAGTAGATGGTCGGCGGTGAGGATTGTGGGGCAAAAACACTGTGGGCGGAGCCTGCTCCGAGGTGGGCGGAGCCAGAAGTAAAGGTCTGTAAAATGGTTCCAGAGCACTCCGAAGACCGGAATAAAGATTCAGGTCAGCAAGGGGTCGCCGATTGAGAAATATGTGCTAGACATATTGTGGGCGGGGCCAGCCCGAGGTGGGCGGAGCCAGACGAAAATTCTCTAAAACTGTCCCAGAGCACTTCAAAGACCGGAAAAAAACGTGGATTAAGGTCAGTAGGCATGGTCGCCGGCTGCAGGGAATGTTGGCGGCAAAAATCATTGTGTGCGGGAGCCTGCTCCCGAGGTGAGCAAGAAGGCCAGACAAAAAGGGTCCTGTTAAACGCGTTCCAGAGAACTTGCGGAGCGGGAAGAGTGGATTAAGATCGAAGAGCTTTGGGAAAACTCTCGCCTACTTCGAATGGAAGGGCGTTTCGTGCCTGAGGAAGATGTAATATTGAAGTATGTCCCCTGACCTGAACCCACTCAATTACCCAGTTCGGGCGGAGTTTAATACGGTGGTCTACGTGGCGGCGAAATCGACCCACTCAATTACCCAGTTCGGGCGGGCGGGGGGGGGGCGGGGGCGGGGGGGGGGGGGGGCGGTGGGCGCGGGGGGCGGAGTTTAATACGGGTGGTCTACGGTGGCGGAGAAATCGACTATCTCGCTGATCAGGCACCACATCGCGGTCGCGTGCCAGAATCTCTCGATGGCGCTCGTCCAGAAGGCTGTGGCGGAGTGTTTTGATAGTATTTAATATGCTCTTTAATATGGTGGTGGAATTGTCCGATAAGAATTTACTGAAGTGTACTTACAGCGCCTCGAATGAAAATGAAGCAAAGTGACTTTTTTTTGGCCTCCCCTGTATATCTGAGAACATAGACAAACTTCCATCCACCGCCTGTCTAAGTCATTGTGGAGCCTAGAGATCGTAGTAGAGATCGGAGGACCCCCCCCACGTTTCATCTAGATGAACACTGAAAGGGTCGTTCCTGCTGCTTACCCATAGCAACTTCTCGAGGCAGGGTACAACTAGACATGAAAACGAGAACGCTCGTCGCTATACAGTTTCTTCTTCATTTATGTCCACGTGCCAGCAGGCTTAGCCCTCCCTGCTCATAGTAACTGCTGATATTGATATTATTTGATTGCTGATTTGTAATCTGCAACGGCGTTGCTGACGGGTTTACCGCCAGACGAGGGCGCTCGAAAATGCAAGGTTTAATACAAAAGCATCGAACCAGCCATCCTCTGCAAAGGTAAGTTATCAGAAAAAAGCACTGCACCTCCGCCTTCTCAGGGTTACGTGCAGTTGCGATCACATGGTTAACGTCAGCGTTCTTCAAGAATTCCTTCACGAGACCAATGCCGCGATTGCTCCAGTGTACATCACGACTGCGCGAAGCCATATCTTGGTACAATCATACTCTATATATAAAGCAGAAGTTGTCTGTCCGTTTGTCGGACCAATAGGAGAATAGGCTCCGCCCACAATGGGCGTGGCCTATATCAGCTGAGCGGTGTCCCTTGAAAACGTCAAACCTGTAACGTCATCAACTTTGGGATGGTGGGTGAGGGCATGTTGAAAACATACCGAATACACATAAACTAAGCCTCGCACACAATAGACGGGGCGTGCACCGAAGTGAGTAGTGCCAACGACAAAAATTCGTAAAATTCCTCCGGAAGATCACAGGGACCGGGGACACGATCATTCTCTATGCACCACGTTAGACTACTACACCCACAATGGGCGTGGGGCATACCCGAAGTGAGCGGGGCGTTTGTTCGGGCGGGCGGGGCCTAACGCAAATCTTCAAAATTCAGACCCGGAACTACTCGGGCAGCGGGAAAACGGACTCGAGTAAAAAGTGGGCAGGTAGATAAACAGAAGGAGGCACACCCGAACTGGGCGTTGGAAAGAGCCCGGCAGATTGCAGTCGGCGGGCGTTTGTCTGGGTAGGCGGGGACCAAGTAAAAATTTCGAAGTTCGAACCCGGAACTACCCGAGCAGCGGGAAAACGTGGAGTAAGAAGTGGGTCGAGGTTGATCGAGCAGTGTTTGGATGAACCCGCTCGTGATCGACTCGAATTTTGTTAAGCAAATTCGAGTGGGCTGCGTTCTATGGGAAGGGGGGGGGGCGAGGGACGGGTAACATAAGTGAAGACCACCCCAGCGAATGAGTTGTGCGCCGAGTCGGCGGCGCCTGCAGCAAAATAATATAGTCGCAAGGCAAGTGAGAATAGCAATGAATATGAGGCCATAATCGAAAAATCATAACTTACTACCAATTTTTTGCATTTATTTATTTGTTTATTTACCGGCTATTCCCCCTCCCCCCCCCCCCCCCCCCCCCCCCCCCCGCCCCCCCCCCCCCCCCCCCCCCCCCCTATTGCTACAACAACTACAAAACACATATACTTCACTTCAGTTCAATCCACTAAAGCACCCAATTACCCCCATTCCATCCCTCGCGCTCTACGAAAATGTCACAACCGGCCGCGCTACGGGGCGGTTACCTATACCAATGTGAAGCGGTAATGTTCTGGACAATTACCAGAAAAAATATTTTCATGTAGCAAGGCGGGCGATTCCGACGTGGCCTCAGTTTGGATGGCCGGGGACCCACTTCACACGCATAAGGAGGATCGCCCGTCGAAGGCGGGCGATCCGACTGGCCCTCAGTTTGGATGGCCGGGGACCCACTTCACACGCATAAGGAGGATCGCCCGCCGAAGGCGGGCGATCCGACTGGCCCTCAGTTTGGATGGCCGGGGACCCACTTCACACGCATAAGGAGGATCGCCCGCCGAAGGCGGGCGATCCGACTGGGCCTCAGTTTGGATGGCCGGGGACCCACTTCACACGCATAAGGAGGATCGCCGCCGAAGGCGGGCGATCCGACTGGCTGGTTGAATAAATAGTGGTAATGCTTTGGGAGGAAGCAGCAGTGAAGTAGACAGTAAAAATAGGAGAGTGCGTAGATACTAAACATGTGTGAAACCAAGGCTGTAAACGACAGATATTCAGCAACAAGTAGTGCGGTTTGCAACTGTAAGAGATTGAGCATCATTTGGCGAAGTATTAATGATTACGGAAGACCTCAAAAGTTCTTTGCTCTAGTGGAGATAACAGCGATAAGACTAGGTAACTTGCAAGCTTCAGCTGTTTTCACCTGAGAAAAAACAGTGTCTTCAATTCATTCATAAGGTATGCTACCATTTGAGTAGATTTAGGGCAGATAGAGCAGCTTTGCGTACAAGTCAGTCATCTGCTATATCTCCGCTCGTGAGGCTCCTAGATAAAGTTCTTCCTAGCGGGAGACAATCACAGCCACGCGGTAGTCTTGACAAATACATATGTGTGCACCCACGCATAAAGCCGACATCCAGTTGACCCTGAGGGGCCCAGCGGACGTCCTATACTTTTCATTTTTTGAATTATTTATTACACCACTTCCAAATAAAGCAAGCTCAAGGTTCATGCTCAGGTTCAGGCACGAATGTTCACTTTTTCCCCTTTTCAGCCGATGTCCCTTCTCAACCTTTGCCTACTTCCTCCTTGATTGGACAGGTCATTCCAACGAGTAGGGAGTCACTAGCTCGGTCTGGTATTCGAGGTCGCAACCGGCTTTGAGAAAAATGTTCCCGAGTAGCAACAGGAAACTTATTCGGCTGTTGACTTTTCTCGGTTCTTTCTCCCCTTGTATGCGGCGCTGCAAAACCGCTATTCATAATTTGACATTTAATCGTACCTCCTTTCCCAACAGCTCGATTGCAAAATTCGGGAAAGTTTGCTAAGATGGTAGATATTCAAGAGGGTATTACTTCGGTCGCTGGTCTTCCCTTTCCGTCATTGCTTTGCTTTCGCACCTTGAACGTGGGTAGCGCATGGTGTTTTTCATTTGTTTTTCTCTGTTTCTAATTTCAATGGCAGAGCCCACGGTCGCCTATAATTATTCAAGGTGTTGATAGAGGAGGTAGTGTGTACTGCAGCAAGCAGTCCTGTATACGGGGGGGGGCAAAAAAAGTCACTTTGCCTCATTGACTTTCGAGGCGCTATAAATTACACTTTATAAATTCTGATCGGACATTTTTACTACCATATTGAAGAGCATTAAAGTACTATCACGACACTCCGCCACAGCCTTCTGGACGAACGCCATCGAGAGATTCTGGCACGCGACCGCGATGTGGTGCCTGAGATCAGCGAGATAGTCGATTTCTCCGCCACCGTAGACCACCCTCTTGAAGTCCGCCCGAACTAGGTAATTGAGTGGGTTCAGGTCAGGGGACATACTTCAATATTACATCTTCGTACGAAACGCCCTTCCATTCGAAGTAGGCGGGAGTTTTTCCAAAACCCTTCGATTCCATGTGGTGGCACCCAAACCTGTAGCAGCACAAGGTCTCCAAGAAGGTACGGGCGACCACATGTAGGGAGGATATTCTTCTCGAGTTACTTGATGTAACCGCCAGCGCTCACCTTCAGTCGGGGTCTACAAAGAAAATATCGGTCTTCCCCTTTCCAGGTACCCCGGTCCATACCATCAACTCGCGCCTCGGCGAATACGGTGAAGATGATGTCCTAGACCGTAGCGACGTTGCCGTAGCTGCTCGATGTGGGAGGTCTTGCAGATCAAGAGTACTGACCTCCAGGTCAGCTATTGTGGGATCCATACAGAAGTTTCGCAGCTATTTGGAGGCGACGTGAATTTCCAAAGGTGTTTCTCCAGTCAGGCCGCGGGAGATGACTTCATATTTTGGTGTACATGAAGGCGATCGCGGCAGCCGCTCAACTGCTATAGAGGAAGATCTTGGGTATCTACCACTCTGGTACTCATATCCACTTCCCCTGTCTGGGCTGCGAAAACTTCGTTGATATGTGGCTCGGCCGAAATGACTTTTTTTTGGCCCCCCCCCCTGTATATTCCATGCCAGAAAGTGGTAAGGTAGTACGTCTTCCGTGTCAAAGGAAGTGTGATCACCCGTAACAAGATAAGGACCAGCAAGAATAAGAAATAACCAGAAGATTAGAGTGACGTGTCAGGGCAGGTGATATCATCCTAAGTGATATGATGTCATCAAGCAACAACTTATCCTAGCACGTTGTTCCTGTGCATCTTCCAGAACGAAAGGTGAGGTTAGAGTCAGTATCAGTTACGCCTATGCAGTCTCTATCCACAGACTCCCTCCGCATAAGTCAACCTAAGAAGTGACCGCATAATGATCTAATAATTGATACACGTAGGCCGAAGGTTTTTTCTTTCGTTTGATTAAAAGATGCAATAATTCTTGATTATAATGTCTATTGAATAGTATACAATTTCCAGCAGGTGAATCTTCAAAGTCGTATTGCTCAGAACAGATGTGCCGGTGGGGAAAATGACGAGAAAAGCGAAGCTCAACGGTCAAAAAGCTGCGGAGGGGGAGGGGGTTGGTGGTACGTGCGATAGAGCCCTGTATGGCTACATACCTTTGTCGGAAAAAGTGCCTCACAGCGCCTGCCCAGGGGAACCGAACTCTGTCCTGCTAGGCGGATTCCATCTACATCAACCTATGAAGTTATCGTGCCTTCAGATGACAGCAGTTGCTCAGCTCAACTATACAGTGGACGGGAAGACCCTGCCCTGCCTCAAATCGAGTTCGAGTAGTTTATTCATGGAAACGACCGACCCCTTAAGAAAGCAGAGGATCCTCTACCAGTTCATCACGGAAAAAAAGATAAGGATAAAGGATAAAGTCTTCGCCGTTGATCAATCCCTTTGGATGCGGCACGCATTCTACTTCCATTCAGAATCGTAGTGGCTTATTGAATGCGATGTGGCCTATACAATGACTTGCGGTGGCCAGCCGATGTACAAGTCAGTGTTTTATCCTCCCAGACGAATCTGGTACCAATTTACCGTCCCCGGAGGGTAGAAGGCTTGGTTGGCCTGGGCGGGTGTCGACCCGGGATTCGAACCCGGCGCCGCGCGAGTGGTAAGCGCGCCACTTGTCACTACACCACCTCCGCCTCGGAAAAAAGATGAAGCTAAATTGTTTGAGTGACATCATGAACGATGAATACTTCATGCCGAAAAACCTTGCTCACGCCTTTCTGAGATAATTTCGTCTCTAACAAAATGGAATGGCTTTTTGAGAACTACTTTTTTTGTTCCGCAAATGCAAGCCCGTGAGTAAACAAGCTCTCCATTTCTCATCATATAAAAGAGGTTATCCTTTTATAATACGAACATACGTCGTAAAATTACCCAAAGTTGTGACTATTGTGCCTTGCGCTGCTTACCCTCTCAAAGAAGAACAAGCCCAGGTCACAGCACTCACTAAAATCGGATGGCTGATAAGAACGATCGCCGCTTACATCGGTTCATCCCAGATACGTGTGCAACTATGTACGTGTATCGGAAATAGTCCACCTCTTATGATAATTGTCTGATGTTTGAGATTGTTTCCCCATACAAGTACTGAAGGGGAGCGCCGGTCTGCACATGATGAGAAAAATGAGAAAATGAAATGAGACCATCCGTAAGCAAAACTACGGGGTCAGAGGTGACCCACAAAAATGAAAACACTTCCACACAGTGGGGATAGGAAGGGTGGAGCGTGCTACAGAACGGGTTTATTGAGCTATGTTGCCTTCGTCTCGTTCTTTTTTTAGAAATGATCACATCTGTTTATCACCAGAAATGAATTGTTTATCGTTTGAGAAGAGTTAACTGTCAGGCATCTATTTCTTTTATTTGAGTAGGCGGAAATAAAACAAATGATTGCGCTGTATTGAATATGCAGGAATGATATTAGGTTTTAAAGAAGAAAACCCAAAGAGCAAATCTTTACAGAGATGATTGCTGGAGTGTATCGCAAAACGGAAATAGTGGGCATAGGCAGGTGTTCTGGTGAAAGAGTGTTGATCGATGCGGCGGCCTACGACTAGAAAGTGTCCGACCAAAGATCTTTTTCGTTTGATTTGCTCACTCATGCATATTAGTGGATATTTTTCACGTTTCATTTATGTTGAAAAAAACAAAAAAAGGTAGAAAACAGCGTCGTTAGTACATCCACCGTCTCAAAAGTCATTCATGTGTGCCACACCCCAGCTTGGGGCAACGATCTTGAGATCCGAGCCATCCGCTGCAAGTGACTGAATCATGCACCAGACAACTCTGCTTTTACTGTTAGAACCCCCACACAGCTGCCCGAGACCCTGAAATGCCTTAATGCATAACTATTAACAGGTCTTGGACTACGATAGGGCAGATGAGTGGAAGTCAACCCCAGCTCATCTCTCAGTCACCTTACTGCAGTCACTTGCTAGAACCGAGTGTATGCGATTGGAATGAAATTCAAAATGAGAAGAAGCCGAGAAGTTCGTAGCTTGTTGTCGCACTGATAATTGAGGTATTTTCTGCAACAACGTAGTGAAAAAGAAACTGTGGTTCGAACTCGCGCACGGTTCGAGCTACCCTCAACTCTCGATAGAAAGAATATTAAAAGAAGGAAGCGAGTTTATGAAAGTATGAAGCTCACTCTTTCTAAGTTAAGCTGAACTTATCGCTGATATTGCCATTTTATAAATCTTTCGTTCTGGAATCGTTGTTTCACTTATGTAATGTCATGTTGCAGGCTTAACTTCACCCTTCTTCATATGTATTTAATAGCTAGTAGTGGACACACGCTGATGAATAGTTCAGATAACCAGAGCGGACAGTATAGTGAACCATACATTTCGGAAGCGTAGCATTTCAAAAGAATTCAAACTGTTTTTGAAGATCAACAACACAAAATTGAAAAAGACTTTATTCTCTCCATAGTGAACTAAGAATATTACGGTGAGATTAAAAAATAAAACCATCGAAAAAAGAGAAAATTAGCGGTGGAATGGCGTAAAAGGACGGTTACATAATGCAGGTGGAACCATATGAGGCTAACGCTGAGGAGCACATATACTCGAAATCCCTGAGATCGGGTAGGCGTGGCTGCGTACTCGATTTCAAAATGGCGGCGGCCCAGGTTTTAGTGAGATATTATCGTTTTTGAGCAGTCGTAATCATGACTACATCTAACGCAGAACAAGATAGCAGTTGTTTCAAATTAAAGTATCCCACGAGAAACCCGTCCTATGCCATGCTCAAAAGCCACGCCTACTCCGTCTCAGGGATAAGGAGTGCACATAGAGTAGGAAGAAGGTGCGTGAAGAAAGCGATGTGATAGTAAACGAAAAAGTGACTTGGGATTCGCAAGAAGTAACACGTTCTTCTTCAGAATAAGGCACTGAAAAGAGCTGAAGCCTATCACAGACTCTCATAGATAACTGATATTTTCCATTCGACGAGGCTTCGCATCCTTGCCTTTCAGTTTCTTATACATATTTTCAAAATCGGCCTCGATTTTTGAAAGAATGCGATGATCTTCTTTATGGCGGAAGCGACCACTCCAGACTCCTTCCTCTACCAATGTAACCTGAATGTTTTCATTGATCCGAGCAAGAAGGAACAGTGGGTATTCGAAGGAGCTTTCAACTGCAAACTCGCCGTATCTCCAGTGTAAAAGTCGTTAGCGTGACGGATGGCAAAGCAAAAAACGATACACATCAAGACTATGAGCAAAACATCAGAATCATCTCGAGATGCGGTATTGGTGAAGCTGCAAGCAGTAAATTAGAAAGATAGCATCAGTCACTGTTTCTAAGAAGCCTCTCTTAATTAGTCCGGGGCGTTTATGTGTATTGTTTTCAATTATACCTGACCCTTAACCCTGACGTTTGACTAAAACTGATTCCAAGTGAAACACTGATTCAGTTGCATTTGATATTCAGATGAGGCCAAAAAGCTCACATATCAAAATTAATTCATCACTTCAGGCCAACGCTTGATTCTTGCACGGCCTCGTGGAAGCTCTGAATGCGCTCCTGCTTCTTATAACTACTTTGAAGTAATAATTCGCGATAAGTAGCGCAGATAGTGGAGTTGGAATAAGTAAGAGAAGTTGCCCAGTAACTTATCTGCGAACAAAGAATGCCAGAGAAAACTTCGGATACGCTTTTAATGGAACCCTCCCGGCCCAAAACATTCCGACGAGTAAAAAGTCAAATTACCATTCAGGAAGAGTTCAGTGGATGATTCCCTCTAAGCGACCCACAAGGAAAAATGGAGCTTCCATTTCGTGGCAATGCACGGTAGCACTGCCCTTTGCTAAATGGAGCACTCTGACGGCGGAAGGGAAGTTTGTAAGGGAAGTCACTGGGAAAAGGGAGGTGTCACTAAAGCAACATTGTGTCCCAATACATTTAGCTTACAACTTCGTGCCGCAAAACTAGCACAAGTTTTTCATTGCGGACACACTAACCTTCCCTCACAATCTTTTGCATTTTCATAGATCATCGCGGGCACTTCCTTTAAGTAATCAGCCAAATTTTTCGATTTCCCAAGGAAATCTGGTAATCAAAAGGGAGCCAAGAGGTTTGATAGATTAAGAACATCATTCGTGTTCACAAGTAGAAAGCGAGAGCTTCACATTTCAACCTCCTCTGCTTTCGATGGCTTGCAGGTTTATACCGAATGGTAGCAACAAGTGAAGTGCCCTAGAGGATGGCAGTTAGACTATGTGACCTACCTGAGACTATCAGCCATAGTTGAGTTGAAAACCGTGATTCAAGCCGACGTCGATCGGATCCCAAATTTCAGATCTGTCAAATTCCGTCACCCCACAAAATGACATCTGCAAATACTAGCAGTCTGGTCCGCTATTTGCTCTTACTGCACATTCATCACAGAAATGAATGTGATTGTTCGATTGATGTGGCGAAAGGAAGTAAAACAAAACTCAGAAACTCTTTTGCAGTCATTCACAGGGAAATATGGAGCTCACTTCCTGCTGACCAACTAAACTACCGTGTTGTTGCAGGTGTCTTCTCCCTGGCATAAACGATCTAGGATGAGGAGCCTTGCTCATCAAAGTTGGATATTTCGGTCAAAAAAAGCGATAGGTTGTTGTATACGCGGTAAAATGTTAGAGGGAGTTGCGTTCGTTTATACGAATTGGGTTGGCCCATAAGTAATCGCGTTTGCTCCTCAACTGAGATAATGCGCCAAAGGCGAAAAGTTTTGCCAGTGAGCTGTATACTGTTTTGCATAGGATTCCTTTCCTTACACGATTGTCCACTTAGTTTTAGTTTTTGGAGTTTCTGTTTCCACTATACTAAGGTGCTCAAACTGGAGTGCAAGGTCGACGAAATTGAAGATTTTCGACAGTCTCTACTTCTTACTTCTAATAAAAAAAGCTAAAACCGCACAAGCCTAGTTGCCAAGTATATGCTCAAGAGGCCTTGTCTCTTAGAAATGCTTGCAGCCGTTGAGTAAAGGTTTCAATGTCGACCTCTCAAGCTCAGATGCCTTGTCTCTTTAAACTGCTGCACCATTGAGTAAAGGTTCCCCAATCGACCTCCAACAAGATCGACCTAATGCCCATTAACCAAACTGAAAGTCTACTAATCATTTACGTCAGGAAATCTCATGCCCAATATTGGAAATCTCAGGGGGTCCGCATGCTTCCTTATAAGTCATCACAGCATCACACTCAGTTGACTTGCTCGAAACTAGTGAATAGGCTTGAGGCAGTCGCTTCCAAAAAAGAGTGGCACCCTCAGTATGTATGCACATTTGCCATGCCGTCCGAATCCCTAAGCTCTGCTCGCTTGGAGCAAACTTCAAGCTCTTATAAGCAGAAGCAAAAAAGCGGACTGAATCGTTCTCTACAAAGGCTTAGAGGTGTTTTGAGTTCAAGAGATGTGGCATTCGCCGTCGACGATTTAGTTTTTAGAATGTCTCATTCTCATTTCCTTCATGACGCCGCGTTCTTTAAAGGTCGTTCGCCCCACGCAACCAATCACGGCAATCCATTCACATGTAAAATAAACGCTTTTTAACCCATTCCCGTTACGACTACCAACTATCTTACAAAGGACGACAGCTTTATTAGCTATGAAGGAGCCATCTGGGCTTGAACTCCCAAATCACGTGGTCAATGGTGCCTGCCACTATGTATGTACATACACATGAAATCCTGAGATGGGATAGGCGTGATTGTATTTTAACTAAAGGTGACGAAGGCTCAGCTTTTACTGGATAATTTCATTTTGACACGATTCCCAAAAAACGCTCAACTGCCACGCCTATTCCGTGTCAGGGATAAAGAGTGTACATCTGTGCATACACTGGACCTGCTCCACTTAATTATCAACATCATTATGCTATCACTTTATACTCTATATACTTCATACTTTATAGTATACTTTATAGTAAACAGTGCTCCTGATAATGCTGTTCAGAAGAGAAAAGAAAGATGGGGGTAAAGTCTTCGCCATTGATCGATGGCACGCATTCTACTTCCATTCAGAATCGTAGTGGCTTATTGAATGCGATGTGGCCTATACAATGACTTGCGAGGGCCAGCTGATAAGTCTGCGTTCTTGTCCTCCCAGGCGAACCGTACCAATTTGCCGTTCGCGGAGGGGGTAGAGGGCTCAGCTGGCCTGGAAGGGAGCCGATCCAGGAATCGGTCCCGGGACCTGGGTGTGGTAATGTGTGACTTGCCATTGCACTGCCTTTACCAATTATGAGAGAATGATGAAGTGAAAACAGATGAAATACGATTTTCAAGCTTGTTTCAAGTTTGCTTCCGCTACCGCAACTCATATGACAGGGTCCACAGGTTTTGAATCATTCATTATTTTCTACATATCAAAACATATTTCAATACGGAATAGGCTCTAGAGTTCTGCTGAAGAAGCCGCCATGGTGTTTCTTGTCTAGCTTGGCAAACGAAGACACTAGAGCTGCTGCAGACTGCTCGACCTTAACAGAAGCACTGTTCAGTAAGTATGAATGTGAGACGACCTGAAGAGCCAAATGGGTTACACAATCACCGTGAGCGGAGCCTTTGCTCCTCCCATGTCTGTCTGCACCCAACCCGGGCAAAAGCTGGCGACAAGAATGCCGTCGGACTTCAAATCAATGGACATTGTCTTCATCAAGGAGTTTAGCGCTGACTGCAAAATGTTCGATTATTATTGTTCGAAATAGTAGTAGCAGTTAAAGGTTCGCAGAACAATTACTTTACTAGTCATGTAGCCCAATCCTTTGAGTGGTCCTGATCCGGATGTATTTTTGCTAATCGAACCATAACTAGCCGAAATGTTGAGAATTGCTGCCCGATCCGGAGAAAAATCACCTTTCACGTTAGTAGCTGACTTCCGCAGTAGTGGCAGAAAACTCTGCGATATGGGTAGATCCGAAAGCAAAAATTTCCAAAAAGAATACAGCAGAAAATACCTGCGTAAGAATAGCCACGCTGGTAGCATTCGTGTCGAGATTCTTCGTGAAATCGGTCCTATTTGGTTCCTGTTTTGTTACATATTTCACCCAAATACCCGCATTGTTGAGAAGCGTTGTGAGGCCCTTGTCGCCAACAATTTTTTCCACCTTAACCACAACATTCACCAAGAGGCATTTTACTTGTTTTACAGTTCTAAATTAGGATAACTCAATTTTTCGGTCTGTAAAGCGTTTATATACCCACACCCTCCCCGTTATTATGCTATTGCGCCGTGGAAATGGAAACGAACTGTTATTAGGAAATATTAGGTTGTCCGGAAAGTTCTCAGCGTTTTGTGTTACTATTTTTTGTACATTCATTGCTGATTAAAAACTCATTCTCCCTTGCGTCTCAGTAGTACATCCTGAAGAGAATTTTTGCGCTATCTGATGGTATAATTGCCGTTTCACCATTGCTTGATAAACCCCCTTTCCCAAGACTTTTTGAAGCATGTCAAAAGAGCAACTTCGGACGATATTTTTCTTCAACTACAAATTGGGTCAATCCGCAGTCGAAACAGCTCGACAAATTAACCAGGTGTGGGGGCCCAATAGTGCTAGAGAAAGCACTGTGCGGCAATGGTTCAACAAATTTCGTTCTGGAGATTTCAGCCTTGATGAACCTCATAGCGGTCGACCTAAAGCAATACCTGACGAGGATTTGAAGGCGTTTGTGGGGCTGACCCATCCCAAACAGTTCGAGAGATTGCAGAAAAGCTAGGCGTTGGCAAATCCACTGTTGCGGATGGTCTGAAACGCATTGGGAAGGTGAAAAAACTCGACAAGTGGGTGCCCCACAATTTGAGTGACCGGCAGAAATTGGCACGTCTCGAGGTTTCTTCTTCACTGCTTTTGCGCAACAGAAACGACCCGTTTTTGGACCGAATTGTCACCTGTGATGAAAAGTGGATCATGTATGATAACAGGAGACGTTCCGGACAGTGGTTGGATGCCGACGAACCACCGAGGCAATTTCCAAAGCCGAATCCTCACGAAAAAAAGATTATGGTCACAGTGTGGTGGTCATCGGCTGGTGTGATCCACTATAACTTTTTGTCACCAGGCCAAACCATCACAGCAGAGTCCTACTGTGAAGAAATCGACGAAATGTACCGAAAATTGCGTCAGCTGCAGCCAGCACTTGTCAACAGAAAGGGTCCGATTCTTTTGCATGACAACGCCCGCCCACACGTTTCACAAATCACTATCCATAAATTGAACGAATTGGGGGTTGAAGTTCTACCTCACCCGCCATATTCTCCAGACCTTTCACCAACCGACTATCACCTTTTCAAACATTTTCAGAACTTCCTTGCTGGAAAATACTTCATCAATCAGGACCAGGCAAAAAAGCCTTCGTGGGTTTCGTGGATTGTCGACCACCCAGTTTTTTCTTTTATGGGATTTGTCCATTGAGTCACATTGGCAAGTGTGCTGATTCGAACGGTGCTTATTTCGATTAAATCCGATGAGTATTAAGAAAGTTATGATCGTTCAAAGTGAAACACTCAAAACGCTGAGAACTTTCAACCTCATACCTGGGTATACGGCTTGCCCCACAACACGGATTACTCAAATGGGACAAGTCGCACTGAGAAATTTTTCATCTAGCCATTGTGCGCCTGCCTGAGTAGCTGGTGATATATCAAGGGTGCCAAAACGAAATACATTCCCAGCTGACAAAGAGACCAGAGCGATTTGTCGGGTAAGACAACAATGTTGGCTTCAAGGTTTTTCACGATATATTATTCAGAGATTATAAGTCATCTACAAAACGTCCTCCAGACAGGAGCCTCAGGATATCACGTGGAGATGATCAGAAGTAGGGTACAGCACCGGAGGAATACCATCGTGAGTCCATATTTTGTAGCCGGGAGAGCGGAGGAGAGTCACTGGGGCAAGAGTGATCCCGAACCCGAGAACACAAGCAAATATTAAAAAAATCATGGCCTTTCCGAACCACTGACATCAGTACACACCGACAAGCCATGTGTGGAAGTGTCACCTTTAGTCACCTCAACGCCCATGGCATCCGCACAGGAGAAGGTCAGTTGATTGCAAGCAAGGTAGTCGTTATTCAGTTCAACAAGAAGATGCACCCAGGCATACTGAGGCCTTGAAAAGAGTTCCGTTGCACTTGTGAAGAGAGAATCCAGCTTTCGAGCGGCCCCGCACTTCTTACATCGAAAAGGCATCTAATTAACCTCCTGAACCGGTTGTCCTCAGAAAAAAAAAGCTAAACGTTTTAGCAATGGACACACTATCTCCCAAGTGTTTCGGCAAAGTAAAGTGCACCGAAGAAGTTCATGTCAGTCAAAGTATAGCAACTCTCTTGCATTTTTCACTTCACCCAAGAAAATTCATCAAATCATGCCATGAATTGTTGTAGATTCAGGGGAAGTTTAGTGCATTTGAACTACAATGAACGTCGTGCTTTAATGAACGCGAGCTCTACCTTTGAATAATTTCCCGAAATCTCCTCTAGTAATAGACACAGTGTTCCCTTGTTCGCATTTTGTAAGCGCTCTACACATGTTCTTAGATTCCGTATTAGAATCGGACATAAAATCCTGCCCGGAGCATGCGACTCAAACCTCCTCACGGGCTGCTCGTATGGATTCGTCTTCTGTTACATCAAGTTCCACGAGATGCAGTCGGCCGTCCTTCACCTGCTTCAGTTCCTGAAATTATTTCCGTTCGAATCAAGGGAGTGTTTATCCTTGAGGTATCTCTAACTGAGGATTGCCATGAATACGTTTGCTATTGTGACGCTTTTCTGGATTTCCCATACCGATGCTATTGCTTTTCGGCACTGGGATGTTTGAGGATTAAACTTACCGATTGTATAAGGTCCCTAAACCCCTCGATTCTCAGCATTTGAAGGGGGCTGGAATTACAAACGAGTCACAAACAAAACCGACAGACAAATCTGCAATGTGAATTTGAGAAAATTATAAAATGGGCATGCAGCTGCAAGACCAGCGAAGACACAGAAGTTACCATACCGAAAATCTAGTAATCCAGTCATACTGAGAAAGCAGGGTACATGTCATTAACACACAGCAAAGCAGCATGACTGTGCATTTGGGGTGCTCAGTGGTTGGGAACATGTAGAAAAGTTCTCGTGTGATCCACCATAGAGTTCCTTACAGTCCACTACTGCTTCCGATTGACAATACAGATATCTTATTCACGAGTATATTGGCACACTTCGTGGGTGCTCCTATTGGGGTGACTTATCTTGCGCGTTAGAAGACGAAATGTCTGTGACCCCTGTGGTCCCAGAACGGTGCATACGTCGACGAGTACACAGAAAATGAAAAATTGACGCGACTGAAAGGACTATAATCTTGTAGACCGCTGATCCTACAGCTTGACTGTTCATCATGCTTCTCTCATGCAAATCAAACACTATAATGGCCACAAGCAAAACGCGGAGCAGAAAGAACGGGAAAATATGTCACACGTACCACGTACATGTCTATTTCTAATATAACGAACAGCACCCGCTCATAGATCACTAGTCCACATAGTTGTAGCACAATAGGTAGGCTAACCTCAGCGTCGGATGGTTTACGAGCAGTCGCTATGACTTGTTTAATTTCTTTGTTCTTCAGAAACTCCTTCACCAGTCCAAGACCGAGACCGCGATTGGCTCCTGTTACCATCACAGAATACGGAGCCATACCTGTATGTTAAACCAGTTGTCATGGGCGCATCAAGGAAAGAAACTTGAAAATCGAATCCACTAGCTCGAAAGTTTTTTTCTCACGCGCGTAAGATGATTTAAAAATGAGCGGAAAACAAGTAATAATGACATAAAGGAAATCTCAGAATCGCAAATGGGAAGCCTGGCTTGCAAAAAAAAGCAGAAAAGGCTCGTATTGAAAATGAGAGGATCACGTGATGTGCGAGGTGCACTGGTGTCGAGCACCCCCAAACGAATGTTGAAGGTTTACTCTTTGAACCGAGCGTCATATCATGGGACCAGTCGGATCACCCGGCTGCCGCCGGGTGCTCCTCCTTCTTTGTCACGGCCCGGCTTCGCCGGGCCGGCCTGGCTTCGCCAGGCACTCTTTCCTTAGGCGAGGTAGAGTGTGCAAAATACGCCTAACAGTCATCATATCATATCATACATCCAGTCGGATCGCCCAGCTGTCGCCGGGCGCTCCTTCTTCTGTGACATGGCCCGGCGAAGCCGGGCCATGCGGATTTGCCGCGTGCTAAGTTACGGATTGTTGACCACACTGTAAGGAATCTTCTGCATCAGCCAAGAACTGAAAAGCAGCGCTCGTTCCGTCAAGACGCAGAAGCAGCAGCAGCGCCCCCCGCATCACAGAAGGAGGAGAGCCGGCCTTAGCCAGCGATCCGACTGGTACGTTCATAACCTACACGGGAATAGTGCAGCCTGTTAGGATAGCCGCTGAAGCAGCCTATAATTTATGCATTCTGTCCTCCTAAAGCGTCTTGCTTTGGAATGCACTCCCGCATTCAGCAGTGGAACCCTTTAAATGGCCCTCACTAAGGTTGTTGATGGAAGATAATTGTGGTAAGAGTGATAAGTCAATTGCTGCTGTTCATAACATCTCTGTAAACAAACCCCATGCATTTGGAATAGAGCTAGCTTAGCGGTCGTACATGATGTCGTTACTAATAAGCAGTGAGGAATGAGTTCTGTTGGAATCATTGAGATCGTTATACTTGAGTCATATCGATCGCATTGTTGTTGTGAGCGGTGAAGCGGATTTTCCCA